ACGCTTACTAGTTCATCTTTATTTGGATTATTTTTTTTAAGACGTATCATTTCCTAAAAGCCGACTCAAGGAAGATGTTCCAACCGGAAGGTCATTTATATAAATAAGAAAGAGTAGGGGGCCTAACACAAAGCCCTATCGCGCCGAACCTTACATCCGCACTCGTTAACAAATGGTCTGAAACTGCAACATATTGTTTTCTATTAGATAAAAACTTTCAAATTCAATCTACAACCGAAGGGTCAGTGTTCAGCTATTCAAGCTTTTGTAATAGCCGTCCATTGAGAATGCAGTCGAAGACCTTTGAAAAGTTCAAAAATACAATGTCGGTCTGATAAAATGAATGAAGATTGTCGTAAGGATTTGACACTAGTTCGAAAGGTTGGGTTTCACACAATTTATCTTTCCTGAAACCGTGTTGTCATTCAAAAAGACTAGAGCTATCCAAAAGAGAATTAATTATGTGGCCATAAGTGACAAGTTCTAGAATTTTGCATGGGACACTCGTAAGCGAGATCGGTCGGTAGTTATATTTTGAACATGACGTGGCCCCAGATTTGTGAACGGGAGTCACGTTCGAATTCTTCCACTCCCTCGGTAAATTTGCGTCATCGGGAGACTGCTTCATCGAGAGAAAGCCATAACGTCACTGGAGAAAATTTCGGTGAGTTTTAACAGTTTAGTGGTACCGGGCGAGGAGCGATATGGTAGGCCTTCGTTTAATGTATTTAAGCCACGTGAACATACCGTTATCGCTTCCAAGAAATCGTGGTCGAGGGTCAATTCACAAGAGGGTATGGAAAAGGATGCGTTCGTAAAAACCTCACTAAAAAGTATTAAAATTGTGAGCAATTTCAAGGTCTGTGTGATACGCATTTCTTTCAGCATCTGTACAGCCATAGCTACTTTGATATTGGTAGGTTTATGCAATCCCAAAACATTTTCGGTGTTTGACTTCAAGAGGCCGTTTAAGTCATCTTTATAAATTTCGCCTCCTTTTTTTCTTTTTTTTTCTTTCAAGGGCGCATATTACTGAATAGGAATAATACAAATTTCACGACGCTTCAACGTCCCCTTCCGAAACCGTTCTTTTTTTTTTGTTTAAGAAAATACTTAAATTGTTTGCAAACCACGGGCGTTGAGGGTTCTTCGGTATTTGTGTAATTTGTACAAAATTGTTGAGGATCGAAATTAATAGATCTTTAAAGGCTATTCAATCTTCTTCGACGGACCATAAATGGCAAGACCTCTTGTAGTCATCAGAAAAATTGCTCATGGCTGTGCAAATTTCGCAAGTTTTAGCGCTGGAAAAGTTGAGGATTGCTCTACACTGGTTATGGGCTTACTAAATAACGATATTTGATTTATTTAAAACTATTTTATGATCACTGATTTTCCCAAGAACATTTACGCGCTAAATATTTCAGGGAAAGTCGTTTAAAATAAGTCTACAATAAAATGAGCTGCAGTAATCTCAAGAACAACCTACTTAATTGAGGCAGTGTGTGTGGAAAACATTCAAGAACACTCAGAAGCATTTCTCTAGTCAGGTAGTAGTTCACAAGAGTCCCAGTTAATGCCCAGGTAATTAAAATCACCCCCAAATAATTACCCCAGAAAAATGACTGTCGTATTCCCGCAGTCGTTCTGGAACAATAAAAATAAATCGTACGACAATTCTACGCAAATAAAGTCCTAGCAATTGCCGTATATAAATGCCATGAATGGCCATATCGAGAAATGGACAAGTAAGGTCATATACTAAAGCCATATTCTATATATGGCCAAACAAGCTTTATTTTCTGAACTCTTGATATGATTATATATGACATGTCTGTACGCGAAGGTGCTTCTCGTAGGGATGGTTGTGATCCGACATCGCCTCGCTTTCCCTATTTACGTCACATATCCACGTTCTTTGATAGATCGGGCATGCAGGAAACGCGCGATAACGAATCGCGTCACCTTTCCTCTTTCGTTGCGGCTTCTCTTCACAACCCTGCATACATATATTAACGAGAAGGCAGGATTCTACGGGATTCTACCAAACCAAGATAGCAACGACTGGCTCGACTAGCGTTTTAAGCCCACACTCCAGACAGGACGTTTTATTGAAACAGGGCTATCCGAAGATACAGTTTTTATAAATGATACTGACAAACCCATTGGTCACAAGAAATGATCGAGTAGGCCAATTAATCCAAGCTTCTAAGCTACTATCTTATTCGATGTATGATACGATGGGAAGATGGCTTCTCCGAGTCTCAGCACACGACTGTTCGAGACAATCATTGTGATCAGCAGAATCATCAGCATCATCAGTAGAAGCCGCAGCGGCAGCATAATTATTATCATCATCAGCATTATTAGCATCATAAGTAGGGTTCGGAGTTTTCGGTTTAAACCGATAAAAACCGGTAAAAGTACGCCGAATCCATTTTTGGAAATTCGATTTTAACCGGAGAAGGTCAGTTTTTAAGTTCGGCAGTTTCGATTTAAACCGATATAAACCGATAAAATTTTGTCGAATTCATTTTTTAAAATTCAGTTTTAACCGGAAAAGGTCACTTTGACCGTCCCATCGTACCGCAGAGCCGTGGCGAGCGTGTTTTCAAACTCGTTGTGAGGAAGACTGACTGGATGCCAGCTCTGCATGTTGTATTGTGCTTCAAAACGTCGCACCGTGTCTCTTTCGGCGATTTTGGCTCAGGCAGCGCGTCATCTCCTCAGTTTGCCAGCGTCCAGTGTTAGCGTTGAGAGGGCGTTCCCGAAGCTCAGGGCATATATTAACAGGAAGGAAATAGTGTGGATCAAGAAGGAGAACCTGGGGAAGTACATGTTTGTGTGTACTATAATGAGATCACGTATTCCTGATGTACAGAAGGTGAGGTTCCATGTGGCTTCATATTTGGCTTGTTTGTACTTCTGCGTTTTTTTCTTGTTCCTTTTACAGTTGCACACATCTGCCAAATGAAGTGTCCATTTCTTTTTCAATGTATCTGTTCCGTTATTCTTTGAGTGATCACAAATATCAGAGCTACGTACAAGGATCATCTGATCCGGTGTCCGTTGGTGTTTATTTTATATTCACCGAAAAAAGCCGATAAATTTTTGCGGGCATAAATATACGCCAAAAAAAACCGAAAATTGAATTTTAAAATAAACACCGAAAAAAGTACGCCGAATTTTGAAAAAATAGAAACCGGAAACGCAGAACCCTAATCATAAGCATCATCACAACTATTATCATCACCAGTTAGTATTATGTGCTCATTAACAGCGAAATTGCCTTGACTATGGTGCACAGAAAACAGGTTACACTTGTTTGCGACAGTGCCGCCAGGTGATAAAATGCGCAACCAGATTTTGGAAATCTGGTTTATTGTTCAAGCCTCTAGAGTTCTGGTTAGTGAACCACTGCACAATGCAAGATTTTATGAAATGGAGGGAAAATTTAGCGCGAAGATTCACGCCACGTGTCCTAGACGTGAAGTGACCCATATGACAATTGAGTCTCCACGCTACATTGAGTGGAAAACCTGAACGTCACTCCCTTACACACCAGTTCAATTTTCCCGCTATATTTAGCTGGAGAATTGGTGTCACGTAACCTGACGTCACGGGATCTAATACATGAATTCAGTTTTTCCGTAAAACTTGGCGGTAAAATTCCTGTCACGTGACCTGGCGTCAGGGGACCCATACACCAATTGTTTCCCTCCTGCAGTCGGTGAGAGGTTAAGAATAAAGTGGAAGCTCCTCCTACCTCTGTCCACTTTGGCAGAGTGAGCGCAGTAGAGGAGGATTGCCTCCTTTCCAACGTTCGCTTTGTTAATGCGTAAAAAGGTGGGAGAAGCTTCCACTTCACTCTTAGCCTATCACCGACCATATATTTGGCGGAGGAACTGATGTCAAGTCACCTATACACCAAACCTGTTTTCTTTCTTAATTTAGCAGGAGAATTGACGTCACGTGACCTGATCTCACTTAACCGATACACCAATTTAATTTTTCCGCGAAATATGTTGGGAAAATGACTGTAATGTGCACCTATGCAACCTCAGCTTCCCCTGTAAATTTAGAGACGAAATAGATAAAAATCTAGGTTTCCACTTTCAGAAACAAAATAACGTTTAATGTCTTCTATATAAGTTTAATCGATCGCTATTCAAATTTCGCCATTTATTTATAATACAACTTTTTAGATACAGGCCGCTTTCAATATTCCACGAGACAGCAACCCACCAGGGAGTACACATAACGGTATCCCACTAGCCGGCGGATGGCTTTCCGACCGGCGCGATTTCTCGTGCGCTTTTGAAGTCAGTGCGTCGTTATTTGATCAAAGCGTACACGCTTGAAACGCCATTGGCCGCGGTCGTCCTACAGTTGGACTCCGAGCAAAAAATATCCGGCGCGTCAATCGCATGCAAAACGTCCAACCAAGAAAAAAAAACAAATCTGGCCTGATTTGTGATTTGTTTTGACGGTTTGTGCGTCGGATCCGAAGGAGTGTTGACCCACATATATACCTCGCGCTTTACACAGTAATATGGCACATGTGTGACCAGTTGAACTTGGAACACATCTCAAACGGTCTAGTTTCCAGTTAAAGACCTCAGTAGTGCAGTAATACCGCAACTGTCGAAATGTTTCTTCTAGAGTGGAGACACCAAACGCACATAAAGGGTGAATAATTTCCTGCTTTCTAAGCATAAACACAACACACTCCAATTTTCAGGTGGCGCTTGTAACAAACACTTCTTCATAAAGTACTTGATGAATATTAGTCTCCGTTTGGTGAATGTTTTTGAAAAACATATTACGTTGTAGCAAAGCAATTTCCGCTTAAAATGTCGCTTTCAATAGAGTTGTACGCACGTGTGGTTTGGAAAATACGCAGGTTTTAACGCTACCCTATGTTAGTTGATCTGGGGTTCCTGAGCTCGTTGGTGGCTTACGGATAACGGCGTACCCGGGAACTGTTTTAGCCCCGGAAACAGGTGCACGCATTACTCGGTCTTTTTGTTTATGGAGCATAAAGTATATACGAAAAGTATATTAGTGTAGTTTGGCAGGCTCTCTCCCAGAATAGATCGCTTTCTTAGTGCACTATGACGTTCATCGCTGTCTTCATACTTGGAGCTTCATTTTTTCTTGAGTCGACCTCGGCAACTGACAGTAAGTAACATTGTATTAACATCATTCAGAGCGGTTCTTGCCGATTCGCGATGTCTCGAAAGATATACAACGTGGTGTGGCAAGGACATTCAGAATTATGCACTAACTACTTTAAATGTGACAAGGTCTAGATGTTACAATTTTAAACCTCTATTAGAACCATGCAAATTCAAACCTAACTTTCGTGACCTACTTGAAAACGAGCGTTCAAGACAGAACAGGAGGTTTGTCAATGCGCATTTTGTATCCTTACATAATTTTCATAATAAAGCCCTACATGAACATAAAAGAGCCAACATCAGTGAAACAGGCGAAAATAGCGATTATTCAAATGCAGTTAAATATAAATAGGAAAATAAAAGCGCCAGAGACTAGAATGGGACTAGAAAGGTGACACAAACAAAGCGTTTTGTTTGTCTCGCCTTTCTTGTCCCATTCTCTGGCGCGTTTTTTTTTTTTTTGTAGAAATGCACCTCTAGCCCACCTTTTAATTCTAATGCGTATAAATCAAACGGTGTCGCAGTGCATTTTCCCACTTGATCCTTTGATATGATCGATCGAGCGCATCTAATGACCGCCAAAAAAAGCTTTATGTTAGCTTGAGAAGGAATTTGTCACTTCTCACGAGGATTCCGGGTATTAGTTTTTGTTTTTGTTTAGGAATTTATGAGCTATGAATCTCGAGTTTTCTAAGATTGCTGAGCATAACCTCGAAGTAGAGTACTTTTCAAACACATTTGACATGTACATAAGACGTGTGCCTATTTGAAAGCTTTCATAGACGTGCCCTTCGAAAATTCGTTCAAGCTTTTCCCTTGAAGTGACACTGTTTGCCTGACGTGAGATTTTTTGTTGTTAATGATAAAAAAAAGCATGGCATGAGACAACCTAGTGTATTCACTGCTACGTAAGCGACGTAAGAGCCAGCGGTACGTGCCATGTTCCCCGACCGACAGAGAGCAACGCGACACCCCCGGTTTTACAAGCGAGGCCCCCGCCGGGGTTTCTTTCTCCGGTCTCTCTCTTCTGGCTGAAACATAAGCAGCGGAGGATCACAGCGGCTCCCCGGCGCGCAGAAGATGCTCTCTGCTGGTTTTGACTAGACGCTTGTTTCTCTTGCGAATAAACACAGTTAACCGCAACTTGACTCAGCCACCGACACTCATAAAGAAGACACGTCATTCACCAAAGGCAAAATGCGAGATATAGACCAGCACGCGGCCCTGACGTCACGCAGCTGCGGTGGCGCTGTCGACGGCACTGCACATGCGCAGACGCTTCACTCCACGCGAATTCGGTGTCTGCGCACGCGCAGTGCCCACACCTGGTGTGGGCAAACGCGGGCTTGTTTGTAAACAGCGTGTCGGTCTATACGAAAGGCACATATTTGCATCTTATTGCTCTGAGTCGCAATATGTCTTAACGCAATCCGAAGACATCGAACTTGCGATGTAACGCAATCCGAAGACATCGAACTTGCGATGTTTTGCTTCGTTACAAATACCATAAAACATGCGAACAAGGTGGTAAACTTTTTACATGTTCAATTCCTACCCCTACAGCCAGCTGTTTTAACCTCACCATTTCAAACGTTCTGGGAATCGGCGAGGTGAGTTCGTTCCACTAAATATCCGAATTTAAGTGTGCCTCTAAGCATAGATGTAAAATTTAATAAAATTTTGAGGGGCGTGAAAAAAAACAGGTCTTTCCATGTTTACTTATTTTCTTAACACTGAAAAGAATTTAATTGTTAAATTACTGCACCCCAAAAGTCCCAGGCTCCAGCAGAGCTTCCGGTTTCTAAATCTAGGCACGATTTCACGTCAAGGCATTGATTTCCTCTCAAAGCGTCAAGACCGACATTTATATCGATCCGCGTCCGATTATGCCGATTGCTTTTCGCTTGGCGTGTCAATGCTTCGCTGTGTAGCTGACGAAGCCTTCCGGACATTCAGGTTGGAGTGCGCGTACACAAGTTTTGCACAAGATTCCCTGCGAGCCCGTTGCTTAGCTTGGTGTACTCATTTCCATACTCAGACCAGTTTCTTTCACATGCCGCAGAAGAAGGGGGAATCTACAGTACGCGAGAGGCTCCTTCTTTTGACCAAATCCCCTTGGAGGTTCTGTATTCTGCGACGTTATTTCGCGACGTCCAGCGAGAGGCGGACGTCGCCGCCGCTGGCGCGCGGCAACGTTTCACAGTTTGTGAGCTTTGTATTTTTTTGTTTTAAATTTTACCCTGGTTGAAAGAACAAAAAAAAAAAAAACTGTTTTCCCCCGAAAGTTTCGATGTTTTTTTCAACCGCTTACATATCTAAGCTCTTAGGGAACAAAAGTTAAGGCTGCTTTCATCACGGTGTACTTTCGTGGTTATTCCGGAAACGGCACCAAACAATATCGTGGCTTTTCGAACACATCTATCTAAAGCTATTACGGTTATTTTGCTATTGCTAATACTACTAGTATCGCTACTGCGCGATACAAGTTAAAGGCCCAAGGCTCTAGCAGTCGTACTGGACTGGCTAAATTTTTCATCTACAATGTAAACCAGTGTCACAGTTCCTCAAATACTGATTTACCTGAGGCTTTCTCAACATGAATGTCTAATATGTATTTGTGTTTTTATGAAAAAGCCACGTGAATGGAACCACAGTATAAGCCATACAGGGCACGGCGCACACAAGACTTTCTTGTTTTTATTTTTTTTATTTATGTGTACTTTTATTTATTTATTTATTTATTCCCATACTGACCGGGAGGAGGGCAGAGACTAAGGTCGTGATGCATAACGAGGTCTCTGCCCCATTTACAATTCTAGGGAGTACTTTCAATCGCTTCTAGCCAAATAAAAAAATCTCGCACATGAGGAAGTTAGCGCTACCAAAGTTACCACTCGTGCAGTAGGCGCAAGGCTGGCGGTGCAGAAACGCGAATGATGAAAGACGGAAAAGCAGCTCGGGCGCGCTTTTGCAGTAACCGTTTTTCACCCGTTGCATGAGTCGTAAATTTGGCGCAACACCGAGCTTCTCACGGGCCCTTTCTAAAATTTAGTTGGTTGGTGGTTTCCGATGACACTAAGCAAGTTTCTAGCTGGAGCCATATCTTTCTTTCCCCTGATTAAAAAACAATTGACCAAATTTTACATAATTACTCGACTCATCGTTATTGGCCTCCAAAATTATGCCCACTTTGCCGTATAACTTACCTGTACGGATCGTGTAACAGTGTATAGCTTTCACGACTTTTTGTTTAAAGGGGCACTGACACCCCAAAGGTCGTATTTATTTTTATTGTCTAAAACAATGCAAGTTGTAGTCATAGACACGCAAAAAAAACCGCATCGCGAAAAAAAGTTTTCCCGCGCGCGCGCGCGCCTTTTTATTTTTGGCGTTTGATTTTCCCGCCTCTCGCCTCCTCGCTTCTTTTGATCGGTGACGTCAAAAATCAGGAAATTTAGAAGCTTTGTAGGCGACATCTCTATAACATTTAATTACGGCAATCTTAAAACATGTTTTTTAACGCAATTGCGAACGCACTACGGCCCTTCTTTTTGAAATACCAAAAATCGGGAGTTCGTTGTGGTGCCGTCTCCTGGATTTGTATCCTCCAACGGAAAACAGGCGACACCGCTCAAAACCGGTCCGCCGCAACGCCGGCGCTAGCCGGCGCTCGCTCCTATCCTCCTCGCTTTGGGTCGCCATGGCAACAGCAGGGTGTGGTGACAGGAAAGTGGACTCTCAGGTCTCCTAAATTTTTGACGTCAAGGCACCGGTGCCGATCGCGCGGGAACTTCGAATTCGGCACTTGGAAATTGTTTTTTTACTTCACGAATACTGAATTCCCAAATCTCAAATTTTGAGGGTAATGTCCCGGCATCGTTTTCAATCGTTTCGGATAATAAAAAAAAAATATGATTTTGATGTGTCAGTGCCCCTTTAAGTCTTAAAGTTTAAAAGACACCCTGTATATAGAGACCGCAATGAGGTTTAGTTTTCTTGCCCTGTCATAATCTTGTATCATGAATAGGCACATTTGCATTTAGAGACTAACTTTTGATATAATACAAATACATTGATATTTTATATCAATATAAATTATATCTTGATATAATCAAGAAATGTGAAGACAAGAGAAAACTATGCGAAAAAAAAGGCTCGAGGTACACTTAAGCACTTCTTATGAGTTGTGAATGCGAAAGCATGTACGCCGCTCTTCAGCACTCTTTCGTCTGCGGCGTACTTGCGTCGACAGTCGAGCGCGTACGCTGTCCTCGGCGAGCTGACCTTGGGCGTGGAGCGGCGGAGCCATTGCCTGGCGGACACGCAACGCCATGGGGTGGCAGTCGTTGAAACTGAGGCGCTGTGGTCAATGGGAGCCTTATCGACGCACGCCAGCCAATGGGACCGAAGCCGAAATCCATCAGCTTTACTCCGCTCCTTTGTGATCGAGGAAACTGGGTGCCGTTTGGCTAGGCTTTTCGCGTGGTTTCATAGCTGGGAGCTGGCTTCACTTGGAGAAAGGATTTAAGGAGCCGTTTAGCGCGGCTTCAAAGCTGATGATGTACGCTCGCTCCATGGGACAGTTAAAGGTTTCGCATTAAAAATACGCTGTTTCTGGCCTCGTAGTGTTTCATCTTTCGTGTTTTAGTGTGATCTACTCTCCGCGTGTTTCGGCAGCTAAAAAATCTCGAACTCCTCTACTTTGCTAAAATATACTAAGTGCTACAAAAGGTACATTTATGAGGGCGTTCTCTTGTCTACATTTAGAAAAAAAGGAATGGTGTAACAGTTTCCATATATACTACGTGACGGGGCATTTTCATATTCCTTTCCAGAAAGTGAAGATAAGTAATAATATAAAATGGGAAGTATAAGAGAAGCATTTTTACAACATATATATTAACCGCATAGTATATATACACTACTTAATTAATACATATTTTTTGTTTCACATGTCAAGTGTTTGGGAACTGCTGGCAACGTCTGCACTGAGGATACCGTGAGTAGTCTTTCTTTTAATAGTAAAGCTAATGCGGTGAAGGGCTTCTACTTGTTCATTTCATTTATTAATACTGTCAGTCCTATACAGGGCTTTTACAGGGTGAAATAAAAATACATAATGGACACATACAGATCGCTGGTACGAGATAAGAATTTTCTGGTAACAAAAAATACAATATAATATAATACAAAACAACAAACAAAAACAAGTATACATAAATTACACTCTAAATGTACATCACTCAAAGATCAGGGTGAATCAAAGAAACACATCTCCAGAAGTTGCTATGATACTAAGTGTAGTTAAATATATTAAATATAATGAGTAGCACATAAAACAGTCGTTTCAATATTAAAAACAAATTGACTTAGTGACGCTGAGGAAACAGTGGCATTCGGTAGCATGTTCCATTTGATTATGGCTCTAGGAAAAATCTGAATTTAAAGCAATCATTTCGCACAGACGGACTTGGAACATGCATGGTGTGATGGTGCCTTGATGATTCATTGGAGAGAATTTCGAAGTAGTCTGAATAATTTATTTCACTTAATTATTAATAATCTGCAAAAAAAATTTATTCGGTCATATTTTGTTTTAGATTCAAAAGTTGGGAGCTTTGCGAGTTCACATAGTTCAGTGGGAGAATATAAGCACGGCTATATTTGTTAAATACGAATCTGGTGGCTAGTCGCTGAATTTTGTCCAATTTAGCACTATTTGTCAAAATATGTGGGTCCCACACGATTTTTGCATACTCAGAGCTTTTATTTTAGGTGATGCACTCAAGAAGTTTCGTCTGAGGTTCCATAGCGCTCTATTAGCTTTGACGCACATATTGTTAGTGCGTCTATTCCATCGTAGGTTAGAGGTAAATGTCAAAACTAGATACTTATATTCCATGACTCTAGAAGGTTGTTGATTATCTATGCTATAGTCATAGCTTAAAACGTTTTTCTTTCTGGTTATAAGAAAACAATTTTTTTCCGGTTTAACGCCATCTGCCACGTTTCACATCAGTTAGTTATTTTTTGTAAGGTATTGTTTAACTCCACCTGATGTTCCGGTGTGTTTATCTTACTGTATATAACGCAGTCGTCTGCGAAGAGTCATATAGGTACTGTAATGTCATCGGGCAAATTGTGTATAAAAATAAAAAAATAAAAGGGGACCCAAAACATTTCCCTGCGGCACTCCACACGAAACCGGTAAGAGGCTAGATTGATACTCTCCTGTCTCCAAGTATTGCTCTCTAAAGGAAAAGTAAGAGGAAAACCACTTCGTCATATTTGGCTTTTGAAAAATGACGTCTATTTTATGCAAAACGTTTGAACATTATGATGTAAAGCACAAAAAAAAAAACGGACACAAGAGAGAACGGACATACAGGCGCCTTACACCATGATTTCCAACGTTCACCAACTAGCCCAACTGCAAGTACTTCAACAACAACTTTGAATGCGATTCCTTATGAAACACTTTCGCAAAGTCCAGGAATACGATATCAGTTTGACCGCAGTGATTTATTGTGTGGGCTAGATCGTTAACAGTTTCAACCAATTGTGTTGTTTTGAAAAGCCTTCTGCGGAAACCATGCTGATATTGTGATAAGACAGTATAATTGTCAAGTTATGCTAACATCTGTTTAGACAGAGTATGTTAAAAAATTTTGGAAACAAGAACTTGTAAAGGAAATTGGTCGATAGTTGCTGACGTCTGAAACGCTGCCACTTTTATGAATAGGTATTATCTTCGCTCGTTTCCGTGCGCTGGAAAAAATGTCGGTATTTAGAGATGACCGAAATATTATGGCAAGATATTTAGATACCCACACTACCCACATTTTTAAGATTCATGAAGAATTTCGTGTGGCCCTGGATTTTTTTTTGTGTCAATATGAAGTAAGAGATTACAGACGCCTTGCTCATTTATTTCTATATCTTCAATGGGAGGGTTATCTGGGAACCATTAAAGGTGGGCGAAATTCCGTTGTTACGCGTAAACACAGACAAAAAGAGAGAATTATAATTCTCAGCAGTCTCCTGGTTAGGCATCTCTTCACCAACGTGCTGTATTTTAGAGGATGAGATAACGTATCGCCAAAATTTGCAGGGCGCATTAAGAAGAAAGTTTGTAAGCACTACCCATTGTATAACTTCTCTTTAGCTTCTTTCACCATCTATTTTAATTTTTGACTAAGTCTCTGAATGTTAGTTTATTTTCAATAATAGAATCATGTGAGCAGGCTCTTCGCCTCCGCTTTAGCTGTCGTTTAGTATGTATTATGTTTCTTGTTATCCATGGATTTTCGTTACCATATTTCTTAACGCGCTTTGGTATAAATCGTTCAACACACCGTATTGCCGAGCTTGAAAAGAAGTCCCACAACGCATTCACGCAGGAAGCAGAATCGCAAAGAAACAAAAAATCATAAAATGATTGCTCAAGGCAATCAAGCACACCAATGTCATCAGCGTCACCAAAGTTCAAAACCACTTTATGGGAAGCCCACTCTGAAACTAATGGAGTCATATCGAAAAACACAATCACTATGTTATGGTCGGAAATACCTCCTTCAGTTGTACCACAGGAAATTAACAGTTTCATACGCTCAGAAACAAAGACCAGATACAGAATGGATGACGTTGTTGTATAGGTTCTAGTGTAATCTTTTATAACCTGAATGAGGTTATGACAGAAAGCAAGCTCTAATAACTGTTCGCTGCTAGGAACTTCTATCGTTCCAGGAAAACAGGAAAGTCAATTTATACCAGGCAAATTAAAATCCCACGATAACAGGACGTTGTCACGATGTCCTAAATTGGAGCCCATATAGCTTCGTAAACGTTCAAATACATTAACTGGGAATTGGGGGGTCTATAAACCCCACTGACAAAGACTCCACAGTTATTCAGTTTAGCCTTGATCCACACTGCTTCAACACCCCTCACGTACATAAGAACAAAAAATACTATGTTATTTTTAAACATAACTGCAGTGCCACTTTTCCCGTTTCGTTCTTTTCTTCCAAGGGTATAGTTAGGAGGCGTAACTTCAAATTTGAGAACGTCTTTATGCAGCCCTGTCTCAGTAAATACTACAATATGAGGTTCATGTTCCAAGATTATGCTTTCTATAAGGAAAACTTTGTCTAACATACTTCTAGCATTTATATTCAAAATTTTTAAGCCCACTGGTTCGTTTTGAGGAAGTCATGAAGTGGCGCTTTTCTGAGATTCATAAGATTTGTACATCTGATTCGTGGCTTCATTCCAGGCGTACAGGACATTATCTAACCATAGCTTATCAAATACTTCTTTGGCTTTAGCGCCCTTTTCCTCTCCTCCACAGTTGAATTCCACAGTTTTTTTCCTAATTTCAACAACCCTTTTAGAAACTTCTTAATTGATGCTAATTTGCGTACCTTTAAGCCGGAAACAAATTCTTAGGAGTGTCATTTTATCCTTGAAGTCCGCCACCTTGAGTATGACCGGTCTATCTCCACCGACTATCTTTCTTCCCAGTCGGTGTATTCGCTCAATAGAGGTGATTTTCTCTTTTAGCAAAGCCCCAAATGCTTTATCGTTTACCTTCCTCATCAGTACCTGTCCATTTTCATGTCCCTCTTCTTCTAACCCTCTCATAATAAGGTTGTTACGTCGAGAACGATTTTCCAGATCATCCAGTTGTCGAGCAAAATTATCCATATCACTATCGCGACCACTAAGAACATTTTCGAGCTGAGGAAGTCTGATTCGAGTTTCATCTACACCTTGGAGTTTAGTTTCGATAGCCTGAAGCCTATTTCGCATTGCAAGCCTACCGGCTTCAGCAAAAGCTTGTTTTGCTGGAATTTCAGTAAGCTTTGAAAGGATTTCTCATGTGTCTGGATCATTTCTTTAAACATTTCTTGTGTAATCGGTCCGGGGTTCTCCTCTGCATCACCAGATAGTTTAAGAAAATAGCTTATCACTAAAAAACAGTCATTTATGCATTGAAGGATAACACGTGGACATGGGAATACAATGAAGAAGGTGCAGTTGCTGCGAAAGCCATTTTGTCCAGCACTATCCGTCATGAAGAAAGGTACGTCAGGTGACACAGTGCCGACTGGGTTGATGTGACCACTGTTGTTGGGATGCGCTGACATTCCCTTAGTAACCAGAACTTGTACAGCCACATGACACTTCGATGACGTCACCATGCCCATGGGTGATGCACCGAAGATGTTGACCACGTGACGACACAGCGGTGCACCTGCAAAAGTAACGTGGTGTTGTTGACAAATTCAGGGCCTCGGCAAGCTTGTGTTCAATTTAAATCAATAGCGAATACTAATAATTTAACGGTGTTATATATGAAGTGTTTCAGCGAAGACTTCAAAATATCGCTAAAAAAGAGTGGTAGAAAAAACTTTTTTTTTTTTTTGTGAACGATCTACCGTTTACGCTGGAGGTCAGGGCAGGGGCGGATCCAAAACTCCGTTTTGGGGGGGAGAAGGGGGGGAAAATTTATATGGATACTATTCACCCATTCTTTCGTGTGCAGCGGGGGGTCCACCCATGTCAAATTGCCCTCCGAGAAGGGGGGAGGGGGGAGGGGGGAGGTCGACTTCGTTTGGGGGGGGGGGGGGGGAAGCGGCCGCCCCCGTCGCCCCACCCCCCCTTTAGATCCGCCCCTGGGTCAGGGATTGCTAACACACGCTAATTAGCTAAATAATTGACTAAAAGTTGCTAATTATATTTGTATACAGTGAAGGGGGTTCAAATTAAAAAAAAAATTCTGAGCATAACTGAACACCACTAAATCAATCCGTTTTGAATATATATAAAACCTGCGGAATTATTTACGAAGTTAAAAAAGAAAAGCTAACTTTGAAAGTGTTTCTGTACTTCGTTTCAACTTAAGTCCATGACGCAGCCGATGCTACGAGCTAATATGATTAATAAAGCAGCTTTAAAAGCGCTAATCACTGGTCCATTTCTGTTTCTAATTGGTTC